AGTCAAGATCTACAGATCAATGAAGAGAATGTTCGTCAAAGTCGGCCTCAATTGTAGTCATGGGGAACATCAGCAACTTTGTAAGATTCACAACCATCTGTTTTTACTCTTTGTCGATTCAGGAAAAGTTGGAGGAGTCCTTAGGCCTGCGGTACCCATTGTTGGATCTGTTATGGATCGTATATAAGGAGTTTGTCGCAATTTTTTTTTTTCAGGAGTAAATAGTTAACCCTAAGTATATGCAGAAAGACAAGTACTGTATTATGCGGCTGCCTTGAATTCAAATGATACCACAGACGAGCTTGACAAGCCTTCATTTCAACTGTTTGCGCATTGGTTAAAACCTATTCCACAGAGAAATATGTTATTGCTTTAACTGTTAGATCAAGCTTACTTAATATTTTGATGCCATGCATCCCTTACAGATTCACAGTTAATTTTTACTTGTGGGAGAATTACTGAATTTTTTTCTTGCATGGTGAGATGATTATGCCATTTTCATATATTAAGTCTTTTGTCATTTTTTGAGAATCTTGTATGTCGTCAGGTTACTTAGGGTTTTGTTTGACCTTTCATATTCGTTAGGCCATTCAGCCTCTCTCCTTTCTTGAATCTTTGTGACCCTTTGCCCTCGATTCAGTTATTGATTTTAAAATTTACCATTATCTCTTTGGTTTCTCCTTATTTTAAATATTTTTTTCATCACTTTTTATTACCCCCCTCTCTCCTCCCTTTATTTTTTTAAATTATATTTCGTGGTTCTTTGGCTGCAAGTAGAATTTTAAATCATAAATCAGTTAAATCCACCATACTCCTGGATTTAGTAAATCCAAATTTAAGATAAATAGAAGGCAAAATTGAGAATACTAAATAAAAAAAGATTTATAAATCCATGTAACACTCGCATGTTACCGTTTGGCTAGATTTAATAGATCCAATGATAAATTCTATTAAAAGACGCTACCAAACATGCTCTTCATATTTAGTGTTTTTAGTCGGTCCCCTCTCCAATGGCTATAAATACCGTTATTGTAGTGAGAAACCATAATTGATGTTAAATGAAATTTTAAGTTTCTTTGGTGAGTTGTGTGCAATCTTTAGGACTTCCAATGATAGGGAAGGTTTCCATCACAAGAATGACCAACTTTGACTTCTTTCTTCTATTTATCTTGATGCTCTTGTTTTAGTTTTTGCAACCTATGCTTCCTCTCTGTAGATCTCATATTTAAGACTTCTACAAAAAAAATTATTGTATTTTGCTTAGGTTTGTGTAGAACCATCTACATATAGATCTTCTCACTTCGTTTACTTCTACGACAATCTTCTAGATTTTGAATTTGCATTGCTTAAAAGTTGAAAGTAGTCTAAGCTTATCTAACTTCAATTCTATACTATTCTTAATCTATTTGTTAAGGTTTCATTTCAATTAATTTCTTTGTATTGCTTTGGATTCTAAGTGAAAATCATGTTTTTAGTATTAGCGTATATGATTAATTGGAAATTAATCTCTACAAATAATGTCTTGATATTACATCTCTCCAATCCTAGCTAAACTTATGCTCTTAATTGTATACACTTCGTATTATTTATTCCTTTTAAGATTGTATAAAATGGTTCTAAGGATGGATCAAAGATAAACTAATTTCATGCTCCACTTTCCTTGTCATGGTATCAAACATTGGGTCTGAGTATCCATTCTTTTTCTCTTGAAAAGATCATTCAAGGATCTCGTCTCTTCTTTCACTCAAAACAAAGATTAGTTTAATTTGTTGGTAGTTGAAAATTCTGAGAGGATCACATATATTGCACGATTACAAAGTGTTGGTCATCTCCAATGTTTATTTGATCCAGTCTACTAACAATTTTGACTAGTTTGCACATGCGAGAAATTCAACATCTCCTCCTGTGTGGTTTCAAATTTTGCTTCATTCTTCCGTTTGATTTAGGCGGGTTCGTGAAGGATTTTAGGGGTTTAAAAAATTAACGTAGAAAACTAAATTGACTGAAACCCAATAAAATAATTTGGTTTTAGGTTGTCTCAATTAATTTTTGGGTCTGAATTGAGTCTAAAATCCTAACACATTTAATTTTTTGGGTTAGTTTTAGATTGACCAGTCAACCCGAAATTGACGTGTCAACCTGAAATTGACGCGTCAAAATTTGACTCAACAACCTGAAATTGAGCCGAACTTGACTCAAAATTAACCCAAATTTGATCTAGATAATTACATGCATATATTAAACTGGTATTGCGGGCCAGGTTCGAGTCTTGGATTCAAGTTAGACTTTTTGACTTTGACCAAAATAATTACATGCATATATTAAATGTGTATTGCGGGCCAGGTTCGAGTCTTGGATTCAAGTTAGACTTTTTGACTTGTTTAATATTTCTTTTTGTGGTGGGGAGGGGGGGCTCAAGCAACTTTAGGCTGGGTCACTTTCGGGTCAAACCCGACATCTAAACCCGATTTGACGCCCTCAAAGGATCAATTCTTTGGGGAAGCTCGTTCTTGATCTTTTGATTTGCATCTATTCAAATTATGTTTAGAATCTTTTTCACCTTGCAAACTTTTTTGATTCTATAGTATCTACATCAACCAATAATTTGGATAACAATAAAGTAAAAATTAAAATCTATTGGGGAATATCAATTTTGCTTCTTTGTTATGGGAAAAAAATTATGGGGGCACATTAATTGGAGTGATCCTGCTCCATGAGGACAAACAAAATTAGCTTAATGGAAAAATAAAGATGTTGAAGTTATTACATGAATCTTAGAATTTATTGATCGGGTGATTGTTCTCAATCTAAAGTCATATAAGATGAACAAAATATGGGAATATTTATTAAAAGGTTGAAGTTATTACATGAATCTTAGAATTTATTGATCGGGTGATTGTTCTCAATCTAAAGTCATACAAGATGAACAAAATATGGGAATATGTATTAAAAGGTTACAATCACGATTAAGCAACTTGGCATTTTCAATTAGAATGTGTTTGCAAACTGCACTTAAGGAGGTCTTTGGATTCAGTGTTACTTCTCAAGACTTCAAAATTTATGGCCAGAATATGTTGGTATAATCTATTCAAAAGTACCTTATGGGTCTTTTTTGGCTATTCAAGATGTTTATAATTATAAGAAAAGAGATCAAATCTTAATGAAACCTCCTCCTTAATTTAAGGCAATTTGTTCCAACTTGATAAATTATGACCTTTCTCCATCATTAGAGATGTGCTTTAGATATTCACTTTGTGAAGAATAATACCTTGTGACATAACACATGAGAATGATGTTTATATACAACTCATGGGAAGCACAAAGGAAAAAGCCATGCAAATATCAAGATTTTAAAAATTGGATTAGATGGACCAATTCAACTGGTTTGACTATGAATTAGGCATATAGCTTGTTTGTTACACTTAAAATCTACTTTTGCATCAAAATGATAGCAAACAATATGAATTGTCGGTTCCACGAGTGAACCGGTTTTGGTTATATAATACCAATTGTTCTGAACATTATCTCTTTAATCACTTTTAATTCTTAATGCAATAGTTATTTGTTTTTTTCTATAAAGACTATAAAGAGTAAATTTATAAATTATATCAAGTTAAAGTAATAATCATAAGCTTAAAAATCTCAAACTGCATTAGTACATTGAGCTTAGTCGAGCTAATCCATAGCGTGCTCGCCCAATCGAGTTATAAGCTCATGCTACAGAGTTTTGTTGATGATATCCTTCTCGTGGATAAGTCTAGAGGGCTCAGGAAAAACTTGAATTATGGAGGTCTAAAGTCATATAAAATGAACAAAATGTGGGAATATTTATTAAAAGGTTGCAATCACGATTATGGAGGTCTAGAGGGCTCAAGAAAAACTTGAATTATGGAGGTCTAAAGTCATATAAAATGAACAAAATTTGGGAATATTTATTAAAAGGTTACAATCACGATTAAGCAACTATGCATTTTCAATTAGAATATGTGTTTGCAAACTGCACTTAAGGAGTTCTCTGGATTCAGTGTTAGTTTTCAAGGCTTCAAAATTTATGGCCAGAATATGTTGGTATAATCTATTCAAAAGTACATTCTGGGTCTCTTTTGGCTATTCAAGATGTTTATAATTAAAATAAAAGAGATCAAATCTTAATGAAACTTGCTCCTTAATTTGAGGCAGTTTGTTCCAAATTAATAAATTATGACCCTTCTCCATCATTAGAGATGTGCTTTAGATATTTATGTTGTGAATAATGCCTTGTGACATAACAAATGAGAATGATGTTTATATACAACTCATGGGAAGCACAAAGGAAAAAGCCATGCAAACATCAAGATTTTAATTAAAAATTGGATCAGATCGACCAATTCAACCGGTTTGACTATGAACTGGCCATATAGCTTGTTCGTTACACTTAAAATCTATTTTTGCATCAAAATGGCAACAAACAATATGAATTTTCAATTCCGCCAGTGAATCGATTTTGGTTATACAAAACCAATTGTTCTGAACATTATCTCTTTAATCACTTTTAATTCTCAATCCAATAGTAAAATTTTTTTCTATAAATACTAAATTTATAAATTATATCAAGTTAAAGTAATAATCATATGCTTTAAAATCTCAAACCATATTAGTATGATGAACTTAGTCGAGCTAATCCATAGTGTGCTCACCTAATTGAGTTATAAGCAAATGCTACAGAGTTTTGCTGATGATATCCTTCTCGTGGATAAGACTAGAGGGAAAGCTCAGGAAAAACTTGAATTACGGATGTCTACATTGGAGTCTATAGGCTTTCGTTTGAGTAGAACTAAAACTAAATACATGGAATGTAATTTTAGTAGTTGCTTTAGTGACAGAGTTGTAACCATGGGTGATCAAGTTATTAAAATGTGTGAACACTTTAGTTATCTAGGGTGTATTATTCCAAGTGATGATGATATAGATGAGAACGTTATTAGTAGAATTCAAGTTTGTTGGTTGAAGTGGAGGAATGTTTCGGGCCTATTGTGGATAGAAAAGTACCGTTTAGACTGAAAAGAAAATTTTATAAAATGGGAGACCTGCAATGCTCTATGGCGTTGAATGTTGGCCTTTAGAGAGAAGCATAAAAATAAGTTAAGTGTTGCCGAGATGAGAATGCTTAGGTGGATGAGTGGCTTTACGCTTAGAGACAAAATGCGAAATGAATATATTTGTGATAGGGTTGTTGTAGCTCCAGCGGTGGAAAAAATTAGGAGAGTCATTTTAGATGGTTTGGTCACATTAAACGTTGGCCATCTGATGATCCGATCAAGAGAATAGGTGTTTCGGATTCGACTTATGTTAACAAAGGCAGAGG